GGAATGCCATCCACCTAGACTCACCCCCGCCCCGCCTACGTAAGCCAAGGACTTACACATCCACTTCTGGTTTATAGCCTGGAACACAGACTTCTTCACCTGGGACAAGTTATCTTCCCAGGTGACATAGAGCTACTTAGAGATATGAGGCCTCTTCCTCATGGGATAAACATACTTTCTTAATGAAATACAGTAAGGGGTTGGGGGAAGTGATGTATCATGTAGTGCACCACTACTTGGTCATAAAAAAACACATGCAACGACTTAGAGAGATGTCAAGGGTATTATGTTAAGTGAAAAAAAAGTCTCAAAAGGATACAGGCTGTAGGAACTGAATTTATATAACACTCTTGAAATGAGAAAATTACAGTAATGGAGAACAAACAAACCAGTGGCTGCCATGGGTTAGGGCTGGGGTGAATGTCTAACTATAAAGAGATAGCGGGAAGGAGTTTTTTTGTGGTGATGGAACAGTTCTGTATCCTGACCGTGGTGGTGATTATACAAATCTATATGTGTGATAAGATTTCATAGTACTGTACACTCCTTAACCAAATAAAATAAAGTAAGAGTAATGATGTAGAAACGGTGAAATCTGAATAAGGTCTGTAGTTTAGTTAATAGTATTGTACCAATATCAATTTCCTGCTTGAAAATGTACTATGGTTGTAACATGTTCTCAGTGAGGAAAACTGGGTGAAAGATACGTGGGAACTCTATGTACCATTTTTAAAACTTTCTGTGAGTCTTAAAAAGTTTTTAAAAATTTTAAACAAACTATGCTGTTACTTAGAGGTCCTTCTCAAAATTCTCACTATCCTTATAATGAATAGAAAGAATATGGTAGGAAGTGTTGAGATACCTGAGTTCTACACACAACTCAGCTACCAACAACTTATATGATCTTGAACGAGTCATTAATCATTATTAACCTTGGTTTCCTTACCTGCAATCTGGGGGTAATTATGCTTCTTTAACCTAGCTGAGATGGAATACTATATACAATAAAATAATGGATGATAAAAAATAAAACACACACAAATATATATACTTTGAAGAAATTTCTGGGGAAGCAAATGGAGTTATTTTACAAGACCTTGATTTTACAGTGAAAACCTGTCCCTCCAGGAAGCGTACAGAGTTTTCCTTTCTTAGGGAGCTCAAGGAAAATGACAGGGTAGTTTCTTACAAAAAAGACAAGGCACTGGTCGTGGAGGAGGTGGGTAGGAGGAGGATACACTTTATGAGGGAAGCCTGAAGTCTCTCAGCTCACAAATGCTTGGACAAACATCTAGCTTGGTGGAACTCAGTAGCTCACACACACACATGCTAGTCCAGTTTACTTCAAGGGAGGGAACTAGTGGGGAAACACCAAGAACTTTTAGTTCTGGTGGTATTCTTTCCTTGATGTATGCTAATGAAAACAGGCTTGCCTTAAAATTAAGGAAAGGAGTCCCAGACTTTTCTCAGCTACATGGCTAAAAAGCTCCCTTAATCTACTGAATATGAAGCTTCCTCAGAGTTATTCAATTCAAAGGCCTTAAACATAACAGAAGAATAAGATATTTCCCCCATCCCAAGGGTCTTTCTTGTACTTGACAAAATGCAGATGACAAGCAGCATCCTATTGGGAGACTGCATTTCACAACAGCAAACAAACACCGGGTGCCTAGGTATTAAAGCTTTGTTGTTTAACAAAGTAACTGGCTCCTCCCCTAAAAATACTGCCAGGATTCCAATTTTAGTCCAGTGTGGTAATGAATGAAGTTTTCTAAACTAAAGTCCCCTTACAGGCTGTGAAAGGTATGTCCCATTTTGCTTTAACTTTTCAACAACCATTTAGGCCACACAACACTGCTAAAAAAGGCTCATATGTCTGGGATCCTGATATCCTAAGAAAAGCAGGA